TTCTTTCTCCCTTCTTCATACACAGAAGTGAAATTTGTGCACGGACTGTCCTGAAACTGTTAGCTGCATATTCACTTTATCAGCAGAATGCACTGTGCTGCAGAGAAGCAGATTCTAGGTCAGCCATAAAGAGATCTTTTTTCCCGACTGTTCCCCTCTGTGTATTCAGAGCCTCTCACATAATATAAAATAGCATTTTTATGTCTTTCTTTCTTTCCATAGGATATTGATTTTGGGGTAACGCCTTCACAAATTGCCCTTCAGTTATGCTAAGTACCGATGAGCTCAGCATTTCTGCCTCCTCTACTGTAATTCCAAAGGGAATTCCATAACTGGAACTCAAAGACATTTGGATGTGAAAAGTTCATCACAATGCTGGGGCAAGGTGTAGATAGCATAGCAAGGCATTGATGCAGCTCACTTCTCTCCAAATATCTCAGAGATATAAGCAATGTGAAGTGGTCTAAAACGTGATTCTGTCCATTGAGAGATGATGTTGGCAACATTACTGCTTTTTTATATATATATAAAAACCCTTATCTAGTTCTTTTGCACGAGAATAGAAAATTGCAAAAATTTGCTCTTCACTTCAAGAGATATTATTTGTCGATCACCATGAGAGTTTTCATGTTTCTAACAACACTTGTTTTGTCATTGAATAATTCAGATAATGCAAATTGCACAAAACCACTATAGCTTCTGCTTTATTTTACAGAGTTGTATGCATCCGGAACATAAGATGGGGTTGTTTACATCATTTTGAGCAATCACCCAGCATCTCTGTGCATGCTGTGTGTGTGTGTGTGTGTGTGTGTGTGTGTCTCCATGCATGAAGTGAAAGTGCACAATGCATCTCAAAGGAAAAGGACATTAGTTTTGTGCAGATATATTTTGTATAAAGTCAGATTGACAGAAGAAGAGGAGGAGAAGGAGGAGGAGGTTCTTGTCTCCTTGCTGTGGTGATAAGGAGCCCCATGGTGCTTGAAAACCTCTTGTCTAGTTGTCTTGTCATATTCTGAGAACTTGGATAAATGATAACAAGGAACTACGACATTAATGTTCTTGTTCTGCTCCCACAAGTCTTCTCCCTATCGCCCTGTCTACATGTGGTGGGCAACTTTCTGAACATCATAGTCTTCAGTGGAGGCCTGATTTTGAACACCATATTGGTGGACACACGCTCCCTGTTCATAAAGCTCGTTCCTATACAGAGATCAGTGTAAAAGTGGGAGGAATTTCACCTGCTCTTCATCTTTCCCACACACACACACAGTTGCCAAAAGCCTAAATAGAGCTGCTACTTTCTGCTGTTTTCTGCCAGAGTTGATCTCAAGCTTACTTATTCTTCAAGGAGTTCCAGCAGCAAATATGTTTATAGTCATTTGTTTTTCCCTTTACTTACATGTTAGGGATCCTTTTGGTATTAACCTGTTTTTTTAAAAATATATATTAATTGGAGTTGGTGCAACCGGAATCATCTTGATTTCTCTGGAATGCCTCTAGACTCAAAGAAAAAATTAAGATGGCAACTTCTGCAGCCATTTTGTCTAATGTTTTCTAGACCACTCCAGAGTGCCCACTGCCACTCACCTCTGCAGTTGGCTGTGGTTGTGGCATCACCACCCACCTCTCATCCCCCACTAAGCTTCTTGGGTGGGTTGGGAGCACAACTTTATGTGTTCAGGTGGCCCAGATGGATCTACTTCCTTCATCTCCTTTAAGCCTGGCGCCAGCCTTAAACAAAGTCATGGATAGATGAGCTTTTGGGGAGGTACAGACTCAGTAAATTAATTGCTTTGCTTTATTATTTTCTTGTGAAAGAAGCTAGGCATTTTATGATAATACTCTTAGAATTATAGAGCTGGAAGGGACCCTATGGATCATCGAGGCATAGTGGATAATCAAACTTCCAACCTCTGGCTCCACATACAGATACCACTAAGCTACCTCAAGGGCCCTTAATCCCCACTGTCCACAAAATATGAGCATGTAGTAAGGTCTAGTGGTCTATTCAGAAACAGTGACTTTCTCTAATGGACATGGCTATAGGATAAGCCATCATACAGGGCTTGCAACCTTGAGAGATGGAGAATAAAACACATATATATATATGGGGAAATGAACACAACCCATAAATTAGCTATTGATAAAGTTAACTGCAAGTAAAATGTGCATGGCAGTCCCAGGTAAAATTTTCCAATATTTAACGAAGGGAGGCTGTAACGGTAGGATCGTATTATCTATATGGTCAGATGGATGTCATCCCGTAGGACAGAACTAGCCAAAGATATAAGTACTGCTAGTTGTTCTGGCAAAGACAGGATCTCACCCACCCTATGGGTATTTAATAAGACCTGAGTAAATGTTCTTCATTTAATTGAAAAAAAAGTAGAATAGGGGGAGGGCATTAGCAGAGGCCATTAGAGTTGTACGCCAAAAAAAGTAATTTTTCCACACTCTAGACACCAGACAGTCATGAAAATGAATGGATGACAATGAAGACAAAGGTTATTTGCATATCCCTCCTTCCTCTTCCTCCTTATACGTATTTGGCAGATCACACAGTTGTGTCGTATCTACAGCTCTATCTGGTTCCTTCCCAAGATTATACTTCTGCTTTACCTGTGCACTACGAGAACGCTGTAATGTTATAGCAGAGCAACAGAATTATAGCTGACACTGGGAAGTATTGCATGCCCCTAAGCGCTTGTTGTAGGGCATTTTGTCCTCCTATGCTGCTGGCTCAGTCCCTAGGGATTGTGTGTGTGTACAGTGTTGGGGGAGGGGAAACCATAAACATCCTCCCTGCTGTTGTCGTCCAGTGCCAGAAACAGCTGTCCAGAGCTAATTTATTTCCTAATGCTGCAGCAATGTTAATTTATAAATTACACTGGTAATTCAAGCTATTATTAATTTCAGAGGGTGTAGGGCAAGCCTAATTAAAATATGACACCAATTGCCACACATATGTACCAAGGACTACCATTTAAAATTAATAGGAATATTAAGTGTGACACTGGCCGCTGAGACGGTTCGCTCAGTAATTACAGCACACTGGTTGCAGAAGATTTGATAAAAGGAGATGAAGTGGTTTAAGAGCAATAAGGAAGACAGCTCTATCTATATGTCTGTTTCTCTTTACCATATGCCAACATACAAGAGCATCCCCTTTCCTTCCTTCCTTCCTTCCTTCCTTCCTTCCTTCCTTCCTT